TTAGCATTAGCTTCTATTCTTAAGCATTGTATGTAATAATACACGAATAATACATGATATACATGTAATAATACATGAATAATACATGGCAAAATTTTTTTCATGTATTATCCCATCCCTAGTATTGTGACACATGCATTTTTCTATATGACCTTGCTCAGTCCGCATTGAACTCAACTCACACGATGATTCATTTTGTTTGTTAAATAATATTTTAATAACTCCATATCGTTATTATAAATGTTTTGTACTGTATAAGCACACCCTTAGTCCCCCTCCCCATACAATTACCCCCAGAATATCAGCAAATTATTTAATTTTCAGGAAAATCATTAAATAATATTTAATATCAATAAGAATTAAACGGTGAATAAGTGATGGGATATTGTGTTAATTACCAATCAATAAATTTTAACACATGTTTTGTAAAATTTTTACAATTGTATTGACTTTTTTTAAAAATTAGAATTTAGAAGAAGTTAAAAATTAGAATTTAGAAGAAGTTAAAAATTTTATAACTTTTTGAGTCTTTTTTGCCGTCAATACAAATGACATGAAAAATATTTGAGACGTTTTTTGCACAACAAAAGTGTCTCCAATTGTGGCCGTAATTGGTGTACGAATTGAGTGCTAAAACTGAACACCGATTTAGTGAGCAATAAATTGAATGCAGTTTTTAGTGTCAAATGTTTGACCAAAATATTGGCTCACATTTGATGTGAAGAGAAAACAGACTTTCATTTATTGTTTTATTTATTAATTAATTTATTTTGTAATATAATTAACGAAATGAATGATTGATTGAATGGTTGAGAAAGCGATACACAAGAGAGTGAATCCCATCGATGGCTGACCAACACATCCAACAGATGATCGACGAGTGGATCAATTGCGGCACAAATCGCACCCAAGACTTGCAACTCATTAAAGACGAGTCACTATTTGATGCCATTGTGACAGTCATTGAACGGAACCGTTCAGACGATGAGGTGATTTGTTGATCATATGTTTGTCCATCTCTTATGATTTGTCCATTTGTTTTGCTTTTTTCTGCCAGTCTTTGGACGCGATCTGTAATAAATTGTATTCATATTACCGTTCAAACGATGACCAACTGATCCACTATTGTCTGGCATTCATTCCTCCGCTAATCGGCGTTCATATATTGAATGCAAACAATTGTGTGTCAAACGCGAGCTCAAGATGTCGTGCGGTGG